ATGTTTGCACCATAATTTTTCAACAATATGGAAACATTATTTTTTTCAACAGCATGGAAATGGCAGCTGGTTTGGCAAAGCCACAAATGTTTCTTCTCAAAAAAATTGCAGATTTTTGCGTGGTTTTGGAATTTTTATGAATTTTCAGAAGAATCAAGACACACCTTCATGTGGTTATTCCAGTTCTGCAGCTTACCAGAATTGTCAAAAATAAAATTCTGATCCACACGTGCTGTTTCCTACATTTGCCAGCTCCCCAGGACAAGGAATTTTCTGGATTTTTGCATGAATTTGGAATTTTTATGAATTTTCAGAAATATCAGACAAACCTTCATGTGTGTCCTTCATTTATTCCACTTCTGCAGCTTACCAGAATTGTCAAAAATAAAATTCTGATCCACATTTGATGTTTCCTAAATGTTTGCACCATAATTTTTCAACAATATGGAAACATTATTTTTTTTCAACAGCATGGAAATGGCAGCTGGTTTGGCAAAGCCACAAATGTTTCTTCTCAAAAAAATTCTGGATTTTTGCATGGTTTTGGAATTTTTATGAATTTTCAGAAGAATCAAGACATCTCCATGTGGTTATTCCAGTTCTGCAGCTTACCAGAATTGTCAAAATTAAAATTCTGATCCACATGTGCTGTTTCCTACATTTGCCAGCTCCCCAGGACAAGGGATTTTCTGGATTTTTGTGTGGTTTTGGAATTTTTATGAATTTTCAGAAATATCAGACACACCTTCATGTGTGTCCTTCATTTATTTCAGTTCTGCAATTTACCAGAATTGTCAAAAATAAAATTCTGATCTATGTGTGCTGTTTCCTACATTTGCCAGCTCCCCAGGAGAAGAAATTTTCTGGATTTTTGTGTGGTTTTGGAATTTTTATGAATTTTCAGAAATATCAGACACACCTTCATGTGTGTCCTTCATTTATTCCAGTTCTGCAGCTTACCAGAATTGTCAAAAATAAAATTTTAATCCACATTTGATGTTTCCTAAATGTTTGCACCATAATTTTTCAACAATATGGAAACATTATTTTTTTCAACAGCATGGAAATGGCAGCTGGTTTGGCAAAGCCACA